ATTATTATAAGTTGGATATAGTTGAATCACTCTCTAATAGATACATGTATATATTGGTGGCCCTGCTAAATAGGTATGTACATGTAAGTCCATTTTCATGATTTCTTAGTGATTTCTTTTTTTTTTTCTGCCACTAAGCAAAGCTGTTCTAGATCAGATGATCCTCATTACTTGCAACTGGTTATTTCCCCAAGATGCTTAACTTTCTCTACTCATACAGTAATTGGGGCTCATTCACTTCTCAAGTTCATCAAATCCATACATTGGAGGTGAAAGTCACTTTGGTAAACAGCATGCTATGCTTACACTTCATGTTTAAAGCTAGCTGCACTGAAGACCCAAGCAAAGTGTCAAGGAAAGTACTTAAATTCTTAGCATATGGCCCATTTATTGGCTAGGAGAGCGACCCCTTGGATGACATATCATGCAACAAAGCAAGTACTTTTGCCTACCTAGCATTCCACACTAGATGGGCTCCTAAAGGAGTGGAGCCTGTTTATGGAGCAGTTCTACTTAAATTTCAAAGATATAGGTGTGTCACCCCTTTACTTCAGAAAGGGGGTTGTACTCTTATTTTCATTTGGGAGTCTGGTTACCACTTCCATTGCCTTGAAGATTGATATGAGGTTGCCCATGCAGTGCTATGTGTGTCACCCCTCCACTGGCTGCCCCGGGGGGTGCCATTCCTTGCATAATAGTGGTAGGTGGTCTGCCCTGGGCAGCTTGAGCATGCTGGAACTGGTTCACGCCGGGGCTGGCCGGATAGACGAAGATGGTCTGTCCGTGCTGCAGAGCGGGTGAGGGAACCGAGATGGTGTGGAGGGCTGGGGAGCCTGGCTGGGCCTGCTGAGGAGCGGAGAGTTTGACCAACGGTGACATGGGCTTGGGCTGCTGGCTCATGTGGGGCGAGTAGTGAAACTTGCTCATGGTAGGGGAACCCTGAGGGTTGGGGGAACCCCCTCGGGCCATGGGGGACGGGGGCGGGGCTGGGGTTAAGGTGAACTTGGCGGTGAGGGCAGAGTTGGAGCTGCTGAGAGGGGTAGATGATAGAGACATCTTGCTGGAGGGGTTAGGACCGCCTAGACGAACACTCTTCACAGACGTCAGGTGAAGCTTACCGGGCGCCGGAGACTTTGGTGTGGACGGAGTACCTGAGCACAAAAGAAACCAAACAGATAATGCAAAGATTAAAATATCTTAATCAAAGGATAAAAGTCAACCATATATGTCATTAATATAACAATCATCAAAGTGATAAATCCATGAATAAATGTTTGTATTGTTATTGTTTTATACATATTTCTGGCTAAATATTTGACTTGACCTAATTGAAACAATAATCACAGAGCTTGGTTTAAGCATATTACCTTATATGTATATATCAAATGCTAAGAACTACAATTCTTTTAATAAGGTACTACTTCAAATAATATGAATTTAGGAGTTTGCCTCGTCACTGACAGGTGGTTATATCTCATCAAAATCAGCCCTCAACTAACATAAGGAAAAGGGGACCATGGGGGATCAACAGCTAATGCTTAGGCAGTGTAAGCTTTATAGAGGGCGCAAGTAGCAACAAGAAGTGCTGTCCCGCTTTAATGCATAACATTTGACTATGTTAGTAAACCGGTCTATTGAATACCGGCGGCCCAGGGCTGGCCTTACCTGGTACGGCAGCTTCCCCATCCGGCCCTTCTTCATCCCAGGACTGCTGCATGATCTTCTGACGGACCTCACGGATCTTCAGCTGCAGACAGTTCTTGGAAGGGAACATGTCCTGGTGTTTGGACTGGAACGCTGCGGTCGACGGAGCTGTCAATCAATTGGGAGAAGAAAGAAAGAAACTTGTGATATTATGTAACACCACAAATGGGAGAGTTATTCGTCAGTACGTCACAATCCACCGACATTTTTGCCAATTTGATATTCGCATAGCTGTAGTTATCTCATATTTCAATTAAAATTCACAAAGGAGGTTTAAATTGAACCCACGGTTTAAACCTTCATAACATAACCCATGGTCTAAAATTAACGCAATATGAGCCCAGAGGTCTAATATAAGACGTGCAATGCAAGGTATGCCTAATTTTGACGCTTATTCTAAACCATGGGTTATGTTAATGAGGGTTTAAACCATGGGTTAAATCTAAACCTCCTTTGTGAATTCGGTCCAATATGTTTCTTATTATTGGTCCGATTCATTTTGAAATTCCACCATTCTGTTTCTCTCTTTTTTCTGCTTTCATTTAAATGAACCTATTACACGGGTTGGACTGCCCTTTAACTGTTGCCAATTTGAAGAGAGAAAACTGATTAATTAAAAAAACAAGAAAACAAACTCATGTCAGACAACCTCAGCTCCTGGGATAATAATTATAATAATTAACGGATAGTCAATCTGTTCGAAACGTCGAGCCACTCCCGTCACTCATCCTCTCCAAGCACTATAGTTCTCCTTAGAACTATAAGCTAAGAAAGATAACCAGCAGTCTTTTGCAAGACTATACCAACAGTCCTTTTCAGGACTAACAAACCCTCAAGAAAGATTACCGAGAGTCCTTTTCAGGACCCCCCAATCCTCCCTCTCTCTCTCACATGGTGCACCCGCAAGCCTACTGTATAAATTATACATTTATAGAGCGCAGAAACTATCCAACATTAAGTATATATTCTACTGCGCTACAAAAGCTCCTAATATGCTTAAATTGACAGTTAATTGAAAAGGGATTGGGAAACAAAGAGGTGACTCACCCGAGGGGAAATAGCCGTTGTTCTTGAAGAGCTCCGTGACCAGGATCCGTCTCTGATCCAAGATCCTTCGCAGTGTGGAGAGGGAAGAGGAGGAGGAGGCGGCAGAGCGATCCAGCTCTCCTTCATACTCATCTATTTCATCTGATATGAAGAAAAAAAGTTATGAACGTATTTACATTACAGAACAAGAGTGGTAGCAGTGGTGGTGGTGGTGGTGGTGGTGGTGGTGGTATTGGTGGTAGTAGTGTTAGTAGTGTTGGGTAGTAGAAGTGGTAGTGTTAGTAGTAGGAGAAGGAGGTGGAAGAGGAGTAATGGTAGTGGTAGTACAGGTGATGGTAGTAGTGGTAGTGGTAGTAGCATTAGTGATATGAACAAAAGTAGTAGTGGTATTAGTGGTAGTGGTACTAGTGATATTAGTGGTAGTTTTAGTAGTGGTAGTTGGAGGAGGAACAGGAATAGTGTTAGTGGTGGTACAGGTAGAGGTAGTAGTAGTAGTGGGATTGACAGTGGTAGCAGTGGTAGTAGGATGAGGAGGAAGATGAGTAGTAATACACTGTAGTACAGGTAGTAGTAATTATAATAGCTATGTTTCATTCACATATCCATCCCAGGGGATGCCCAAGGCACCTTCAAACAATTACCATTATCCAGGCTCCAGCATTTTAAGAACATGAGGAAGTCCTTCTTACCAATTTTTTGAAAAGTAAGCATTGTTTGTGTTTGGGTAAAATTTCAAAAGAAGCAAAACACCTTGACACACACAAAGATCTCAAAATGGAGTAGTAATTAATTGATAGTTCTTCCTACCTGGCACACTGCCAATAAAAGTCAAGTTAACAAAAATAAACAAGATAAACACATGTAACACACTCGAAAGAGGTAAATATCTCAAAATTGAATATTAATCAATTCACAGTTCTTCCTACCTCGCATATGGCCACTATAAGACTCCATGGGGGACTTGTCACTGAACTTAAAGACAGAGTCATCTCCGATCACTCTCTTGCCCGGCGTACTGGGTTCGGAGCTACTGGAGCTTCTACGGTGGGGTGACTTGAGCTTGCAGGGCGAGGTCGGGTCGTTGTCAGAATCACACTCACTCTTACCTATTAAAATAACAATCATATATGGGATTTATTTTATTTATTTTTTCACTGAGGCTCAAGCAAACAGAAATTATTCATATAAAGTTAATAACTGAATTATTCATACCCTTACCAACTTTCATAATTTTGTTAAAGCATGTGAAAATTTGATTTGTTGCGAATTGTCATCTCCACTCCCCCCCCCCCCCCCCCCCAACACACACACAAAAAAAATATAATAATGATGCTAGTGATAACATTGATTATACAAAGGCTAATGAAGCTCATTTAACCCTTACTGTACTGGGGGGGGCCTGGGAGACCCCCCCCCTCGACATTTTCGAAGATTGCGCCGCAACCGCTTGGAATTTTGAAATGTCGTTTCATGACATTTTTCCCTCAAGTCTTACGCACATTTTGATACCATTTTCGTCGAAATCGGATATACCTGTAAGGCGTTACATAACAATTAGTATGCGCATGTCATCAGAAAAACACCAAAAAAATTAAAAATCCATCAAAATTTGCATAAATTATCATTATTAATTACATTAAAATAACTTTTTTGTGTTAGAAAAGTAGTTTCATTTGAATAATGAGTTTCAACATTCAAAAAGTGGAGTTTGACACGTTTTCTGTAAAATGCATAAAATTAGCGCATTTTGCATAATTAATTAGGCTAACGACAAAAATTTGCATATTCGGAAAAAACTAATTATACCATCTTGTTCCTAACGTAAATATCGACAAACATGCAAATTTTCGTGTTCATCGGACAATCGACGGCCGAGATCATAGGGGGGGGGGGGGCCTCCCAGGCCCCCCCCCCCCCCCCCAGTCAGTGGGTGCTCAAAATAGCCCAGTACAGTAAGGGTTAAAGAAAATATTTTCTTTACAAACATGATTTAGACTTGAAGTCATGGCATATTGTTCACATGAGTTCATATTCTTTTTTCTATTAAGTAAGTCACAATCAAATTGAAGTTGAATCAATAGCATGTTTACTTCCTAATGATTATCCAACATTCTCCTGCGAGACTTCCTTTACTCGAAAGCATGTTGTTAATGCTATTATTGATATCCTGTTCTGGATTTATAAAACCATGAATTCCTGTTTGCTACAAGAGGTTGGGTATCTACTTTCAGCTCAATGAAAATAGGTTTAATTTTGGTATGCCACACATTTTCCATGGACCCGAAGTCTCCAGGATCTCCGACATTGATGTCAATAGGTAAGTAGTGAGAGTTCAAAGGTGGGAATGTGTCTTTCAAGTGGTTTTCATAGAAAAGATACCTGATTCATGTTATTTTGATGAAGTTATTAACAATAATGATAAAAAAAACATTGTTAAAAACCTGCTCCTTAAAATAGAAATAATATTTATATTTGTATAATGCACATATTAATAGCACGCAAAATGCAAAGTCCATCCATGTTTATGTTTACCATGAAAACAAGCCACGTGCGATGTTTGGCAGGTTTATAGCAATAAGCGGCACTTTTGCTTCATGCATGCCAAGTTTGTGAGTTGGCAACTTCCAAATATCATCACCATTTAACACATTTGAACACATCTCCTGAATTAACAGTACTCTATTGAACAACTACTGTATAATTATGTTTAGGTTGACACAGGGATTATTTACGTCTGCAGCTGTTTGGCTCCACTTCATTAACATACACGGTAAGTACAATTGCCTTTATATATATATATATATATATATACACCATGCAAATCCCAGCTTATGAGACTAAAATTAACTTTTTAAATACTGAGTGGAAAATGGGCAAAATTTCCCTTGCTGCATATAGTCATGTAATGTCAAAACATAAGTGAAAGCTATGTTAATGTTCCAAAAGTACTGTAACAAGAAAAAGAAGGATCATCCAAGAATGTGTAGTAGTCCCAGGAAGAATTCCTTTGATATCGAGAATTGCATCTTTTATTTGGAGTGGAAATGGAGAATCCAAAAAGCTACATGCTAAAAAGGAATTAGAAGTTTATTTCTATTCAATTGCCCTAGATCCTATTTTTGTAGAATAAAATGGTTTCAATGAAAGATAAACCCAACAGAAAAAAGTGAATAAGCTCCTCCAGTGAATACAGCAGTCAAATTTTGAGATGCAGTCAATGTTATGTACTGATCAGAAAATATGGAGCATACCTGCATTGTGATAAAACCAACTTATCATATATATTTATTAAATGTCTATGTCAATATACAGTAATCTTGGACAAGATTGCTTTGCTGAAAAGGGATTTGTCATGAACTAAGACGTTTCTCCAGTTAGTGACATTGTAACAGAAGTCCACTGAGTCACTCCAGCTGTCATCTGTGGACATCTGTCGACACATCTGCGATGGCCATAAATTTCATGGACTTGTAGAGTTGTAAGGCGCCACAAACATTGCTTTGATGACATCACTTGAAACAGGTTGGATCACGTGGAGGTTGCCATCTAGAAGGATGTCTTATTGACTTCAATATTACTTCAAACAAAACGCTACAAATCCAGTTCTGTCAATAACTATTTTCCATTTGATACGTTCATTTCTAACTTTTGTTTGGGAATTTAAATTGTCCAATTGTAATTCATGTATAAGAGATCTGTATTTAATCACAGGTAATCATGTTGAAACTTAGGAAGAAGGTTGTATTTAAATGCACTATGGTAAAACTCATCCCTTTGATCACAATACTTTGTGTAAATGGGTACCAAGTTAAGGCAGTATCCTTAACGCAGGGGCAAGAAGCAACCTTAAATTTCCCATACCCATGTGACAGCACAGAAGTCACATTACAGCATTCTTATAGACTCCCATTTTATCGCTCTTCAGATAGGTCACCACTGTCTTTGACACAAGATCAGGTGCAAAGATTCAACGTCCAGAATAGAAATAACAATGCCAATTGCTTTCTGGAGTTTTCAATAAGTAACGTACTGACCATTGATCAAGGGACATACATTTTGTCTGTATACAAGGATGGGGAGATGCTAGTTGAACAAACACACAGGATTTGGTTACAGGTTGATTATCCTCCTGGTAAGGCATCATGTGTCGTGGGTGAAAATAAGGGCAGAGTCTGGGTCTCAATAGACTGTACAGCTAATGTTGGGAGTCTATCAGGAAAGATTGAATGCTATCAAGATGGTGTCTGGATGCCTCCCCTAACTGATCCTACTGAAACCGATACTATATTGAAACAGACCATTCTCATCAGAAAAACACAGCCAGTATTTTGTTGTTCCTCTTCCACATTGGCTGAATACACTGAAATATGTGAATGTGATGATACTGCATTGTATCTAGATAATACCAGTAGCAGTGGCCCATGTCCAACCACATCAACAAAAACATTGACAATTTCTACTTACAGAACCCCAGATCTGGTCAACAATAGTCAGACTTTTAACTCATCGAACTATCCCCTACCATCAAACACAACATGCAAGAATGCCATCAAAATGACCGAAGATAGTTTGAAAACAATAATTATATATTCTATTTTGGCAACCGCTGTGGTCATAATGTTCACATTGAATGCAATTTTCCTCTATAAATTGAGGCATAAACGCAATAACAGTAAATATCAGTCACAAGATCCTTCAACATCAAAAAATGATGACGATGCTCAAGAATGCGTAAGTCTATAGTCATCAGTCATTGCAGGACTTTGCAGCTCACGATTTTCAAGACATAAAACAATTTCTGAGGAAATACCAATCATTAGACCAATCATCCAATTATATCTTTCGAGACATCTGAAGGAAATATGAACTCTAAATCTTCTGGTAAATCTATATCAAATGTAGATTCCTTCTTTGCTTTAAATGATTTAGTGGAGCTATCGCATTTGTAGATTTTGGCACATTAATAAACATTATCATTATATAATAATTGTTCTTATTAGAATATCGAAAGAAAATATAAGAATGTACACATATCTGTGGTAGTAGTACAAGTGTAGAATATCAAATTAAATACATGTACAATGTATAAGGGTTTGTTTTTATTGAATAGAAAGCACATGTACAAATATGTATGGTAGTCTAAGCTCTACTTCTGTGTCAACTCTTTCTTAAGGTAATCGCTCAATTTGCAAAGCTTCTGCTGAACTTGGGAACAGACTAAATTAAATGTCAAAAACTGTCAAACTGTTAACCTATTCAAAAGTAGTCTTAAGACACATTTATTCAAAATTGCTTGATGATTAATTAACCTGTTTACTTTGATGTATATGTATTGTAATTTGTAGGTTTATTTGCACTTTTTTGTTTTGTTTAATATGTAATTGTTTATCAGTCTATTTTGTTTGTTATAGCGTTTAGAGACTTCGGTGGTAAGCGCTTAACCCTTACTGTACTGGGGGGGGGCCTGGGAGGCCCCCCCCTCGACATTTTCGGAGTTTGCGCCGCAACCGCTTGGAATTTTCAATTGTCGTTTCATGACTTTTTCCCCTCAAGTCTCACGCACATTTTGATACCATTTTCGTCAAAATCGGATATACCTGTAAGGCGTTACATAACAATTAGTATGCGCATGTCATCAAAAAAAAAAAACAAAAAAAAAAATTGCATCAAAATTTGCATAAATTATCATTATTAATTACATTAAATTAACTTTTTTGAGTTAAAAAAGAAGTTTCATATGAATAATGAGTTTCAACATTCAAAAAGTGGAGTTTGAAACGTTTTCTGTAAAATGCATAAAATTAGCATTTTTGCATAATTAATTAGGCTAACGACAAAAATTTGCATATTCGGAAAAAACTAATTATACCATCTTGTTCCTTACGTAAATATCTACAAACGTGCAAATTTTCGTGTTCATTGGACAATCGACGGCCGAGATCATAGGGGGGGGGGGCCTCCCAGGCCCCCCCCCAGTCAGTGGGTGCTCAAAATAGCCCAGTACAGTAAGGGTTAATAAGTAACATTTTTTAAAATTATTTTTGTTATTAAGCACGGTTTTATTATCATTAGTAGTAGTAGTATTATAAAATCTCGAAAAGGAAATATAAGGGTCTGTTTTCCGTCATTAAATCTAACAAACCAATGTTCCCATATTCAGGGTAGTAGTATCATAGCTTATGCATCATAACTGTAGAGATGTTGTGTTCTTGGATGATAAGTCACCTGACTGCAGATTGCAAGGTACTGGACTTGCATCCACTAGTATGATCTACATTTGCCACTCTTCACCCAGGTGTAAATGGGAATAATATGCTTAAAGGGATCGTTTAACAATGTTATAACTGAGATACACGGCCCTACGTGTTATCAGTGTCTGTGATATGATGTAATATTGAAGCCCTAAAAAAATTGCGCTTCAAAATGATCAAGAAGTGCCTCAAAAAAGCAAAAATCTTTGAGTGACTGGTTTTACCATACTCGTTTTCCCTAATAGACTGTAGTGTTATGAAAACCGTCAGGTGAACGGTTTTCAAAATTTGTGATTCCAATCATAAATATCTTGATAATCAGACAGGCGATCGGCTTGTAAAAGTCACGGGGTTCCTGACTGACCTAAAGGTTTATAATTATCATTGCATCATGAGCTAAATCCAGAATATGTTTTCAGAATCTGAGACAAAGTTACCGGATCCCTTTAAGCGCTAATTATTTTTAGTTATTTTTGAAGCTCAACTATAAGTGGGGTAATACAATTGAAGTTGTTGATGTCCATCTTATCTTGCTAATTTATGTTTATATGAGTTTAAGGGGACCAAACACCAAAGAATTCTTTGCTCTGTAAGGTCGAGATTCCATGCCAGTGTAGTATATTCAAAATATTTGATTCATACATTACTGCTGTAGATTTCAAAGTTTCAAAACATCCTAAAGAAATGTAAAAACTCATAAGAAGACTTGTTGAAATACACAAACAAGCATTTGGAAATTAAGATTAAGCTCATATATTCAACATCAAAATAAAAAAAAATTCCCCTTATGCTCATTCTTTCAACTTGTTGAATGCCTCTTATACAGTTTTATTGCGGTAGTGGTTTTCATGTATGATGACAATATGACATAAAAAAGTTTTTCAATGATTGGTTCCTATCAAACCAAAAAGTAATTTTGTGTATTACGAAAAGAGTAGCTTTAGATTTACTTCAGTCTGTTTTGTAAACCGGTAGTTCTTCATGGATGAGACTTTGTA